ATATATATATACGTAAATGATATATATGATTTATATATATATATATATGAAATATAACATATAACTAAATTTATGCAATTATATAATATATGATATTGATTTAAATGAAATAATTAAAATATATATAACTGAAATATATAAATATAAAATTAATTGCATATATACGTTAAAATTGTAGTAAAATACCGGTGTATTCGAGCACAATGCAAATAAGCCTATACGGAGTTGTTATACATAGTATATACTCTAAATACATAGTATATAGGTATAGGTAATATACATATAATACACCATATTATATAGCGAATTTTTTTGGTTTAACTATAATTTTCGAAATCAAATGCAATTTAACTTCTTTAATTGAGTGAAGCAGTTTTATATGATTAATTCACTAAAATGCAATTGCAGATATTGTGGGTTTGCATTTAAATGTAATTTTTTTTGATATAATTTTTATATATACATACCAATTTTATTTTTATATATGGTCGCCTGAATATTATACATCATCTTGACTTTGTATGTGTATATATACATATATGTATGTACAATTTTATAAAAATGAACTGATAAAGAAGAGAGATTATAAAAACAAATTACAAAAAAAAAAATATAACAATATATAAAAATTAAAAAGAAGTTAGACGTTATAGTAAAATTACATTTTTATATGTGTATATACATATATATAGGTATATATACAAAGTCAAGATAACTTTAAAATAGTAGTATTGCAAGTTATACAATTCATCCAGTTATATACAACTTTATAAGCTGAAATGTATACATATTAAAATATCATATACGTTACTGCAATTTTAAACCATATAGGGTATCCATCTGCAATATGAATATAACATTATAGTATATAAATCTATAACAAGTAAAAACACTTCAGTCGGTATAAACTAACCGAATTATACCCTGACCCTTAACTATCTGAGTTTTAAAAATTTGTTTTTGGAGCTGTAAGTTGCAGCTACCCAAACTTGTCAAGCCTTCCCTCAAAACGTCAGGGATATATGAGACCTACAATTGGACACATGGCTACCAAGTTTTATAAATCTAACTTTAATATTTTTCCGAATATATAGAATTAGTATTTAAAGTTGTATGGCAGCCAGCTGAATTAGTGCAATGCAATTGAATTCACCTTTGCAAAATTTGATAATAATAACTTTAGTTTATTAGTTTTTAAAATATTTAAGAAAAAACTTTTTGATTTATATGGCAGATACCTAAACCTGTTGTCCGAATCAATCTAATTATAATAGCAGCCTAAGTTTGCTGTCAATTGTATTATTCAGTTTTTAATTATCTTGCAATTGAGTGGACGGACATTTCTAATTCAATGCAGAATTATACACTGAGTAAGAATATATATTACATATCCACACCGGAAACGACTCCTTTAAGTGGTTACAAAGTACATACCAAAGCGAATATATCTTTCACGAAGATATAAAAACACCCTAAAATATTATGGTCTGAACTTTATTTTGTTTGGAGAAAGTTTTTTCATTTCCATCTTATCTCTTGAAAATTGTCAGTGCCACGAAATTATTAAAATTTTGCATTTTCGACATCCTATACTTTCGGGAAACCGAAAATTTTTCTTAACTTCTGTAAATGCAGAAAGCTTACGGTTAATACCATGCCATAAAAAAAATATAATTCTTTCAAACGATTAACATAATTTTTCTCCTTTGAATATTTTTTTTCCTCCCCCTAAATGTATGCAATATTTTTGTATATGAATAAAAGTAATTTAAATACAATATAATGAATTGTTTAGGAAAAGTGTTATTTTACAAATCATTGGTTTGAGCCAATTTCATTTTATTTTCTATTTCAAATAATTTAACCCTCATAATTATCTCAAAAAAATTTTAAATGCTGATATCCATCCATACTCCAAAAAGGCGGGGAGAGATTATCTGCATACATAACAACCATATTTTCTTATTTTTTACAAATGTATATAAATTATAAGTCAATAAATTATGAAAAAATTTATTAAAAATAAATTTTTAGAAATTAAAAGAAATAATTCGAACTATTTGCAATTAAAATACAAAATAAAATATTTAAAAATTAGGCTACAATTAATTACTAAATAAAATATATTTTTACATCATCGCACCTTCCTTTTCCCTCTCCCATTTATCCCTTTTCATTGTCCTTTATATTCTCAAAATCGATTTGTGATGTGTATGTTATGTACAATATTATTACATATTGAGGGCATATAGGGGAAACCCTCTAATACCAACAAGAAAAATTTTAAAATATTTTTAAAATAAATGAAAAAAAATCTACACAATTTCTACTATTATACAGGAAATTTTACTGCAATATTTTGGAAAATAAAATATCTTTCTATAAATTTACAATCTGTTTTAATTTACAATATTTTCGATTGTTTTTTTTCAAAATTTTTCCGAAGTTTTTATAATTTGGGATATAGTAGAGGGTTTTCTTCCATAAGCTCTTGAATATATTAAACATATACATTATAAAAAACCTTGTTTTGTAGACGTACCATTATACGCAATATATTATTTTTTTATATGAGAACATATATGTTCATATATATATATAAATAAATTACAGACTAGGACTTTTACATTACAGTTGTATATTACAGTACACCTTATGGTCCAAAATTTAATAAAATTGTTATCAATTTATGTCCTCAATATTTAATAACTGTGCATATTGAAAATTGCATATTTTACTGAAGTAAATTAACAACAAATTTAATAATTTCAGATCACAGCAGAGATTAAACAATCATCATGTTATTTATTTTATGTGTTTTTGCTAATAAATTTCAAAAATGCACAATAATATTATATTATATTACGGTTTTAAATTACAAAAATTATTAAATTGTGCAGTGATCTTACAATATACCATTTAAAGCTGTAATAAAATACATATACAATCTATATGTATACAAATCTGACTAAAAAAACAAAAGAATCGTTTTGTTCCCTTCAATACAGCTGGGTCATTTGTGAATTTTTGTAGTGTAAAACAATATTATTGCTGTAAATTTAGAAGTTACGGAAAATATTGTTTATATGAGACTTACCTTTACTTCTTTGAAAAATGCAGTAATACGTGGTACATTATTTTTGCAATTCGCAACTCATAAAAAATTAATTGTGTATATATTAATGACGCATTATACTGCATTTGGCAGAAGGCACGGACAATTAAATTTTTATTCACACCGCAGGACTTCACCGCATTGTATAAATAATACTGTATACACTATATACACAATTAATTACAACAATACTGTTGTTTAATTGCTGAATTGTGCATTTAATGCAGAATTTCTGCAATTATTAAGTCAAGGACCGCATATAGATATTTACTGACATCTAAAATTCAGTAATACATATATCTTGACTTTCATATAATGCAGTGATAATGCCTTGACTTAAAAATTGCAGTTAAAAAAGTATATTTATGCGGTTATGAGTTCTAATTGCTGAATCATGTATTTATAACGGTATTGCTGCAATTTTAAGGTCTCGCATGGCTTTTAAGTTGCGTTTTTTTTTATAAATCCAAAATACTGAAGATTTTTTGCTTCAGCTAAAATTAGCAATTTTTTTTTTTTTGATCTATAAGCTATGAATCTGATTTAATAATTCTATATGTTTATAATTGCAATCTGTAAAACTTTATATTGTACTATATAAGCCATTCAATTTAAATATATAAAATTTATAGTTATGGCTGCGGCTGTATTTGTGCACGATCATATATTTACTGCAATTTGGATTTATAAATTATTATTTTATCATGTTTATAATGTAAAAATAGAATATATGTATAAAATTAAAATAAAAGAGAAAAAATAATGTTCTATATCTCCCGTTGAAAATCTTAAGTTTGGAAAACATTTTTTAGAAGTTAGAGATAATAATGTATAACACTTCAAAATATAATACTTTTTTGTTTACTCTTTTTTTTCTTATATATATAAAAGAAGTCACTAAAAGTGAATAATGAATAAAAAATTTAAAATAAATGTGAAAGGATAACAAAAACAAAAAAAAAAAAAAACAAATCAAAAATTTAAAAAAATTAAGGAAAAGTATTGAAAATTTCAAAGATTATAAAAAAAAATACAAAAAAAAAAATGCATGCTTTGCCAAAACTGTGATTTAAATTTTATGATCTAATCAATAAAAAAGAAATATATAAAAAAATTACAAAAAATTCAAAATGAAATAGAAAATAAACAAACAAAATAAGTAAATAAAAATGATAAAAATGTTTAGAAAACAAAAAAGAAAAAAAAAACAATAAAAAAACTTTATTTGGAAAATATAAACAAAGTTGTTTACATGAATTCGGTAGCCCTGAAATTCGAAAAAATTACGAATATCAAAACAACAACTCCGAATAACTAAAATGCTCTGCTTCGAAATATTCGTAAATAAAGTATTTATACAACCCCATCATGATTTCCGTTTGTAAACTTGAAATTCGAAAAAATTATACGAATGTAAATTCATTTTATCATACTCAAATTAATTTATCGGAATTCATAATCGGAAATCACGAATTAATTTGGAATATTCGGAAACATTTTCAATATTTATGAAAAAAGAGAAATTTTTTGGAATACCTATAGTAATGAGCAATGAGTATAACAGGTGTTGGACAAGTATACAGTGAAGTATAATGAGTATTCCACCATGTGTTCCATATTCCACCATACCATGTGTGTACTCGTATACAATCAAAACCTAAGGTAATGAGGCAACTATAATGACATTATATCCTGAAATGAAAGCTCTTATACCAGAAAAAAAAGAGAATAACCTTTGATAGCATTTTTTGTTTGATGTAAATTTTGAAGGATATTTTTAAAAAACCATTGTGGAGTTGGAAATATTCTGTATAAAAGAAAATATAAAAAACGAAAATGCATATAAATTTTTTTTTATTATTTATACATTTGAATTTTATGTTTCGTATAACATTTATGTATATATAAATCAATGTAATACTTTATAATATCCTTATCATGAATATATTTGCATAAAGCACATCTCATGTTATCGAAATTGTAATCATAGTGTATTATAGTACACAATTCAGTTTATATATAACAACTAATTTTTGAGTTGTGTATAGTAATAACAGTATTATTACAATTTTGATGTCAAGGAATATGAATATTCTACACAAATATATTTACAAGTGTATAATATACATTTAAAAATACAAAAACAAAAATAGATAGATTTGGTTCTGTCCAACTCTACCTATTCACAACCCATACGAAAGAATGAACTAAAATGTTATTTACGGTAATTGCCCGCTGTTTATGGGATCTATTGGGTTTTTAGATGTATGATACTATTTTATACATACAATTACAAAAAAAACGCTTTTAAATATGTCATTTATAAGGGCCATATTATCACTATATCCTTTTGTAAAATTTCATTACATTATATAGTGTTAGAAGAGTTTCCAAGATATGACCAAATAACTTTTGAAATTGTATTGCAGCTACTCGAATTACTGCTTCGATCACATTTAAATTTAAATAGTGAAATTTTAATAAACTTAATTCATTTAGATTTTTGAGTTATCGCCATAACGGACGGACAGATAGATATGACTCAGAATTTGATGCTGATCGAAAATGTACATATTTGTGTCTACATAACTCAAACCATTATTTCTTAACGTTACAAACAGAGTTGCAAATTTATAATACTCCCCGGACATACGTTCGTACAGGTACAATGAAAAAAAATTATTATTGTAATGGAAATTGTAGCGGAAAAATAATTCCAGATAATCGGCTTCATGCTTTGGGATGTCTACTTTGCATTTTTAGGACTTTGACAGCCTATTTGACTTTTGGAGGTGCCGAAATACTGGTACAAAATTTTCTTCTAGTTGAGAAACAAATTTCTATAGTAAAAATTTATGTGTAAACAAAATTTCAGCTTTCTACCTTAAAGACTGTAGAAGCTTTCTAAACATATACACAGCATTATCTGGAACCACTTTTTTGCTACAAGAGCATATAAATATATTTATAGTTTTTATTTTCTAAATATTCTACGGGCTTATTATTAGTTTTGGTTTAATTTCAGGTAACTTATAATTTCCAAAATAAAATGGTACTTGTTGTGTTGGACTATCAGTTGTTAATTTGTCATCATAATCGATAATGTTATCAATTTTTATATTATTTATTTCTCCATTCGAGTTATTACTATTGTTTGCTGCTGTTGTTGTAGAAATTGGTGATATTGTTGTTGTTGTTGTTGACAATGAAGATTGTGGTACTATTGTAGCTGATTCTATAGTTGTTGCTGATGTTAATAATATTGCTGCCGCTGTTGTTATAACATTAGTTGTTGTTGTTGTTTGACGTCCTCTTTTACGTCTTGGCAAAATACCTTTTCTTGCCATAAAGAATCTATAATAAAATCAAATGAAAAATTATGTTGATAATTTAAAGTTGTAGTCGTAGAGGTATAAGAAACATAAATTCAAGTAAATTGGTAAATTAAGTAAAGTAATTTAAAATATTGCAGTTATTTACGGTACCTAATTGTAGAAATTGGTATATTAAATATATCGCTAACTGTTTGGAATGTTTGACCTTTTGATACACATTCAGCTGCCTGACGAAGTATGGCTTCTGATCGTCTTACTTTTCTACCAACTGGTAAATTTTCAATATTAAATCTTAAAATGCTTTCATCGTAATCGCAAACATCATCTGGTGATTTGATATTTGTGTCCATAAAATCTGAAAAATCACCTAAATAGTAAAAATTACAAATAAGTTGCATAAATAATAAAATTGTAAATAATAATTTACCATCTGTTTTACTATAATATAAACTATTGTCATCAGTTTCATCGTTTAATGTGTTTATTTCCATTGGTTCAACTTTTGGTATTAAATTTTTTGTTAAATCTGTATCGTTGTTATTGTCATTAATATTACTACTATTGCTTCTATTATTTTTATAATTATTATTTTCATTACTATTAATTATTATATTAAAATTATCATCTTCTTTATATTTACTAATATTTTTAATATTATTATCATCATCATTATCATTATTATTATTATTGTTACTATTAATTTTTGATAAGCTATTTTGATCTAAATTATCATTTCTATTATTAGAAACAAATGAAGAAGGTGGTGTTGGTGATGATGATGATGCTGTTGCTGCTGCAATAATAGCAGCTACCGCTAAATTAAAGCTGTTTTCTAAGGAACTTTTTTCATTATCATTATTGCAATTACTATTGTTATTTTTACTGTTATTATTACTATTGCTATTACTATTATTTTCATTAACATCAAGCACAATATTATTTTCTATATTATTATTGTCTCTAGTGTTCTCGGCTGTTTTAATAGTTTTATTAATGTTATTGCTCTTGGTATAATCATTAACATTATGACTATAACTATTTTGACTAGTATTTTTTTTATTTTTACTATTATTATTATTACTTTCGTATTCATTATCACCATAGTCTTTCTGTTTTTTTCAAAGTTTTATTACTATTATTGTTATTATTATTATTACTATTATTTTTATTACTAATTATTATTATTATCATTAAAATAACAAGAACAATAATAATAATAATAATAATATTAATGATAATAATTGTTGTTATTGCTATTGTTATTATTGTTGTGTGGTTATTTATTATATAACATATCCTCCCCCTTTCTAAAAGTAATGGCTATTAAAGTTTAGGAAGTTCAATATGAGATGTGCAATTAAGATGACAAAACAATGTGACAATTTTAATATTGAGGGGGTTTTGAAAATGTACAACAAAATAAGGCAATGTAAGAAAAAGTTTCTATAAATTTTATGTTAAAATATTTTCAGTAGCTGTCAACGTTTCTTCAGTGTATGTCAACGTAATAGTTATGGTCTTTGTTTCAAAGTACAATAATACAGCAAAGTGGTGTATTCTGCAGGTAACATTCATCATCACAACTTGAGAAGTACATAATATATTCATATTTAATAAACATGTATATTTAAAAATGGGGTAAGTAAATTAATGCAATATATAATATTCCAAATTATGAAACAAATAAATTTAAATTGTATTTTTTTAATGAAAAATAAAAATTTTAAATTTGTTAAAAATCAAAATATTTTAATTAAAATATAGTTGAATTATATATATTAATTAAAATATACCTAAACAAACAAACAAACCAAACAAGCAAACAAATTATCTTCATCATTATAAACTGAAAATTTTAATGTATCATAAGAGGGAAATGAATTTTGTACATTATTTTTTGGCATTTGTAAATTAGTTGTTGTTGATGATGATGATGTAGATGATGATGATGATGATGACAATCTAATATTTGTTGTTGGTGATACTGATAATGCACTAGCACTAGAATTAGATGCTATTAATTCATCATTAACTTGATTTTGTGTTGTTGACGACAATGGCGATAATGATGATGATGTTGTTCCTGTTAATGATGCAATACAACTTGTAATTGAATTTGTTGTTGATGTTTTTGTTGATAATAGTGTTGGTACTATTATATTCATTTCATTATCCTTTATTATAACTTTATCATTTATATTTCTTTCATTACATTGTAATTTTTTATTATTTATTAAATTTATTTGTTGCTGTTGTTGTTGGTAATTTTGTTGTTGTGCAGTACTATCAATTTTAATTTGATTTAAATTAAATGAATTATCAATACCACTTAAACCACGTATTTGTAATATTTCAGCACATTTTAATAAATCAGATAAACCAGCTTGTGATACATTTACTTCACCTTTATACATAAAATCAATTAATGCTTGCAATTCCCATAATTTAATATCACGTGATAATATAACAATTGGATGTTTACATGGATTATCACCTAATAAACTTTCAAAATATGATGAACAAGCAGCTAATACAAGCCTATGACAATGTAATTGATGTCCTTCACATGCTAATGTACAATCAACAAATCTTTGATTTGCCAATAATTGTGGAAATGCAGCACCTAAACTATCTAAATGACTATTCCATCTGACACAAAATTGTTGTTGATTTGATAGTGTTGTTGAATCTTAATGTTGTTGAATTGTAAAATAATTAATATTATTAAGCAATAGCCTTTTTTTATATTTCAGAAGTTTTTTTACCTGTACTGTTGAATCCATCATTGACACCACTATGATGTCTTGAATATTTTGCCATTTTGTTTTGGTTTTTGTTTTTTTGTATATCTACTTATGTACATAATATTTTAAAACATGCCGCGTATCTTGGGATTTCTATTGTTGTTAGTATGTATATTATGAGGTATTATGTTCTCTATATATATATATTTTTATTGTTTTTTGAATATTTCATTTTTAAATATTTGTTTCCATTGTTATTTTTGTGTTTGTTGTTAAAAATTAATTTTTTTTAGTAGATTGGCTTATTATTGCTAATTGGTATATATTACGCATATTTATATTATGTTGATTTGTATTATGCTTTGAAAATTGAAACAATTTTGTATATAGACATAAGTTGTCTTTAAAGCTCACGCTGTAAAGAAAAAATAATATATGAGTACTATATTGATGTATGCGCTTTAAGTTTAAATTTATTTAATAAAATTGAATCTTGGAAAAAGTTGAATAATTAAAAATAATAATATGTACGTAATGAGATTAGTGAGATATTAGTGTCAATAACCCACTTACTATTATAATTAAAATTGCACTTATTATAAAGTAAGATAGGATGCGGAACCCTATATAAAATTTGGGAGTTTAAAATGAATAAATTTCACATGTAAACAGGTTTGGCAGCGGTGTCAATATTCTGTATATATCATGTTATGTGTATGGTATTGCAATCACTCTTTGAAATTTAGTCGGCTCTATATATATTGAACTATAGTTTAGACAAAATATAATTTTTTAATAATTTGCCAATAATATTGTTGAATAAAAATATTGTCACGCAATTGCAAAGGCACATTGTCGCTCACAAGAAAAAAATACATTTAGTTTTTGAATTTTTTATAAATTTTCGCACTTGTTATACGACTAAAAAATTAAAACATTGAGAACGTTTTTTTTTCAAAAATACACTATGCAATCTTTGAAAAAAAACTCAATTGAAAACTAAAATCAATTACGCTAAATTTGCCGAAAATATGCTAAATGCTACAACAAGGCTTGCAATACCATAGTTATAAATAACTTGTATATATATATATATATTAAACTATGCGCTACTTCAATGTGTATATGTATATGTATATGTGAGATAATGCATAAATTTGTGTTTTAAGGATAATTTTTTTGAATCCGTATAATTCTAAATCCTATAACTTTTTGTATCCTTAATTATTGTATCCTTAACTAGTATTCTATAATTTCGCTATAAATACAGAATATAGAAGAAACATATAAACACAAATCACTGTTGCAATTTTAATAAATATGTTGGTATACAATACTTTTAATAACGTTATTGTTACTATTGTCAACGTTATTGCAATATTTTTATTTTGTAAATTTAATTTTTTGGAATTTTTACTATTTCAAATAAAATAATTAAATTCAAATAAAATAATTTCTCTCTTAAATTTTAATTTACTAAAATTTACAGGTTTATTATCCTACTTTTTGATTCTAATTCAATATTTTCAATTTCCAATAATATTCCAACTTTAACAACAACACTTGTTTTTATTCCGAAGAAATTTAAAATTATACTAAAGAATTATGGAAGAGTTCCAGATTAAAAAGCTTTTCTCGATATATTTTCGAAGGGACAAGAAAAACACAATTTTCTTTTAATTGTTGTTATTAATTTTTTTTAGCACTTTTCCAAAAGAAAAAAAAAAATTTGGGACAAAATTGTTTATTAGTAGTTTCACTCTGTCTGTATGTCCGTGTGTCTGTTTACAAAATTTTTACACTGTTTTTTCAATCCAATCTTCTTTGAAATTTGTAAAATATAAATTTTCAGCGCTTTATATTTTCAAAATTGGAGGCTTTTCCAAATTTCTATAAAAATTATGCGATGTTATTAAGAAGTTTTACTTATTGGCAGTATTTTTATTTGTTTAAGGTAAAAGTGCTTTTTTATAAGCCCATAATTCAACTTTAATTTTTCCCTTCATAAATTTTTCCTTTTTGTATTTTGTACGTATACATATACAAAAAAATGTGGACATTATATAATTTCTATTCCCTCTCATTTTCTCTCCAAAATATTTCCTCTCTAAGTCTCTATATTATTGTCATGCTTAGACTGACATATACATACATATAAAAATACGTATTGTATAATTTTACTCTCTCTCTCTCTCTATTTACATATTATATGCGCGTCGATTTGGTAATTTTAAATTTGCTTCCTATGAGATAATTGCTATGAGAATTTCATCGGAAAAACGAAATAAAAAAAAAAAAAAGAAATAAGTGAAAAATAAAATCCTTAATACTTCCTTATTAAAAATTCCTTAAACTGCAATAATACGATATTAATATACAAATCAGCTGCACGATTTGTAGTTGCTGAATTGTGCCAAAAAAAAATCATTTTGTCATTATATTTAGTTAGTCCTTTAACGAAAACTACAAGAAATTTAATTTTAACAAAAAAAAATGAATATGTTTATTCCTAAATTATTCAGGGATATTACAATTTATATGGAATATAATGGAAAAATATTATAGATATAGAATTCGCATGTATAAATTTGAAGAACGAAAAATCGAGCTTAACAAAGAACTTTCGGAAACAGGCCTCTTCAGCTCCGTAATATTAAAATTTTATTCAAAAGAAAATTTTATGCAGTCATAGCACATAAGCGTTAATTTTATGTAGTTAACATTTTTTAGCTCTTAGAGGAGGCAGATCAGAACCTGTTGAGCTGCGTGAATATGGTTTTCATTTACAAAAGCTAAGTTTTAGCTAAGTGCTCATGAAGGTCTAAACAATATGGTACATAGCTTTATGGCTGTAATAAATTCATAACTATGCAAATGTTTTATAATTTTATTTATTTTTTATCTTATTGTAATTTATTTGAATTAGGTTAGAAGTTCACAAATCTTAAAAAAATTTTGCAGAAATATAGATTTATTAAATAAAAAATATTTTTTTTATATACCTTTTTTGATTTTAATTTTATTTAAAATAAAATTTTCTAACAAAAAGAAAAATAAATTAATTAAATGATTACATTTGAAAATGTATTAAAAAAATTCAACAAAATGACAGATTTTTCCTCTTTTTTTTTTTGTTACCAACCATGATGACCTGTTTGATAGCCACCTCCAATTGCGTTAGTTTGTGTATAATCAGTTCCATGATGCCCATTACCACCGCTATTGCCATTATAGCTATGAATTACGTAAATAGTTTTTATAGGAGGACTATGTCCAACACCATGATTATTAGCAGAAGCAATTTCAGAATGTTCTTCTATAGCAGCAGCTCTACTTATACCACCACCACCACCACCACCACCACCACCGCCTATTCCACCTAAACCACCACCAAGTCCACCCAATTTGCTTTGAAGTAACTATATATAAAAAAAACAATACACCATATATACACTTAATATTATATAAATTTTTTATTTTTATATAATAATTATCGAGAATTGTTATAAAATCAAGAATTGTTTGAAAACTTTCGTTAATAGTGGTAAATGACATATAGTTGTATAATAGTTACTTCTTGATCAATATTATATAAAGTTAGAAAATTAATAAAAAAAAAACATATAAAATTTTGTAAATTTTAGAATTACCCCAAAAATATTTCCTAATCCAGCGCCTCCTCCTGGACCCCCGACAGCTCCACCAATATTTCCTATTCCACCTCCACCTCCTCCAAGTAATCCTCCCAGTTTACTAGTAATATCACCAAGTCCGCCACCACCACCTAAACCACCAAGACCACCGCCTAAACCACCAAGTCCACCTCCTAAACCACCAAGTCCCCCACCGAAAGAACGTCTTTTTCGTATTAATTTTTCATTTTGTTCTAAATTTGAGATTGCACTTGCACTATCAATAATAACTAATATTGTTATACCAATTATTATTATTAATTTCATTTTGTTTTTTTTTTTTTTTTATTCAATTAAATCAAATTTAGTCTTGCTAATTTTTTTTTATTTAAATATTAATTCTTATGGGTATAATTTAGTTAGAAATTTAATTAAAGACTACATCAAATATTTATATGCTAACTTATATTTATAGGACAAGAAACTAAATTTATTATAATCTATTATGCTACTCATTTGTAAAAATTTTTCAATAACTGGTCTTATCATCATGAATTCAAATTTTGAGTACACATTTATTCAATAAAAACAAATAAAAGCAAAATTAAAAAAAATTTTCTTTCAAATAAAATTGATCTGTTGCCATTATTTTATGGTTATATTTAAAGTTCAATGTCAATGTGTATTATAAATTTCTTAAATACATAATTATGGCAGTATTCAGTATTTAAAACTGACAATGTATCACGTTCCATATTGTATTTTACAATGTAACGCGCATTCCGAATTGTATAAAAATGTAGCGTTTTCGAAATGAAGAGAAAGCAAGTTACCGTGAGCATCTTAAACGAATTCTGGATGTTGTTTTTTTTTGGTAAAATTTTGACGATATCAGTTTCATAATGCTATTCTGCGTTATTTACTTGCAATTATTTAAATTGATATATATGACGTTAATTTTTGATATATTTTGCGTTGAATTTGCGATGTACATAATTTTACCAATAGGCCAGAAATTTTGAGAAGAATGATACCTAATACTTAATAATGATATTTATTATTTCAATTTTTAAAATGAAATGTCAATGTCAAAAAACAAATTTTGTATTTCGAAATGTTAAAAAAAGAAACTTTGTTAAATTTTTTTGTCAAACATTTGACAATGAAATATCATAGTATTTATAGTTTTGGACGGCTAGGCGGTTTCATAACTTTTAATTTTTTACGCAATACGGAATACGGCCTGCATTATAAAAGACTCACAAACTAACTAATGTTTCACCGAAAAAAAGAAAAACGAAAATATCAAAATCTAGTAGCTATAAAAATATTAATGCAAAACATAATTATGTTTATATTTTTAATGTTAGTTCAAGATGTTGTAAATTAATATTTTTACATTGATATTATTTTTTGTGTTTAAAGAGAGAAGAAATTTCGGGTGATACAAAGGAAAACATAGAAAAAAGAAAACAAAACAAAGTCAGGTTAATTCTTTTGTGTATACTATATGCAAAAACATAAGAAAAAATTTCGAACACATCCATGAATTTAAACAAAAGTTAAAATCTATGGAATTATGGGGATTTGTGAGAATTTTTTTCTTCAAATGGAGTTAAAAGCAGTCTCGAGACCCAAATTTGATTTGAAATTTTTGATTTTATATTTTGTCATGAAACCGTAAGTTTTATATTAATCGTCTACATTGCATATAATTAGGGGATCTATTGCAATGGCATCGAATTTTCAGAAACAAAACAAAGTTTACTCTCATATGATTTAGAGAAATGAAAAATTTTTGTGTTCTTAAAATGTGAAATATGTAAGTATATACAAAAAAAAACATTTTGTTTTTCGTCAAACTAATAAATTAGTTCCAGTTAATTTAAATATTCATATCAGTTAATCAGAAAATATACAACATTTCGGTCGGTTTTATATTGTCATTTTCTGTATTTTTCATTTCCACCTATCTTGTATAAATTTATCAATTCAAATAATTTGCATATCATTTAATACCATTTGCATATTATTCAATAATTTGCATATTGTCTGCTCATGCAATATCATGGATTTGTATCTATATATATATATATATACATATATCAAATATAATTTCAATATCGTTAAAAATTTTAAATCAGTTTTCGGGCTTTTTGTTTTGCTGTTTTATTTTTAATTCATAATATAAGTACAGTGATGCAGCATTTGAAACCAATCATTAAAATAAGCAAACACAAAAGATTTTTTTTAATGACACTCCCCTCAAAAAGAAAAGAATTGGATGTGACTAAGAATTAATGATCGACCTACATTAGAATAATTTTCGGAACGATTTTCAGAGCATTAAGGCTATATACCAGTATACTTAACAGATTTGCAACGTAAAAACATTTTTTGGTACTATAGTTCGTTTGCAATTCAAAAATCAATGTCAAATCGACTCAGTTGGTATATTTTACAACTCTGGGAGCTGAAGACAGAGAAATTTTTGCAGCACGATATTTTAACATCAAACGTAAGTATATTATTATGGAACCGTTCAAAAATCATTTTTATGTTTTGTGGACCATTACTCGCCGGTAAATTCCTTTTTTCTGAAAAAATTTTGAATTTTGTTAAATCACTTGCTTGTATATCGACAATTCAAATCCATGTATTTTGATGACATGATGATGACGGATATCTGTACTTTGATTTTCGAATTATATTATGTTCTTCTATTATGCATGTGGTAGTCTTCCACTTAATATAGATAATAATAATTTCGTAAAAAGAGCAAATTGATCAGTTCAAAAAAAAAAATGTTAATAAAAACAAAAAATTATAAGTAACGTTATTACAATAGAGCGGAAGTTATTGCTTTTTTGTTTTTTTTCCTCGTTTTTCTCACTAATTTTAATGCTTAATATATTTTGGAGGCTGTTATTATTCTTGATTTTTGCTGTTCATCTTTCTTGTTTTATATTACTTTTATCTCTTTTTCTTTTCTCGTTTTTAACTAGTAATTTTATTAGTATTTTTTCAAAAGAAAAAAAAAATTAAAAAACATCATTATTAGTTTCACTTTGTCCATCAGTGACTTTGCTTAGGTTTTTCTACCGCGACTTAGCATTTAACATGAAAATTACAAAATAAATGCAGAAATTAATGGTTATTTAGAAATAGCTTTTTCCAACTTTTGATATTCTTTTTCTTCTAAATGATAAGTTGTAGAGATCTAAAATTTTAGCAGCTTTCAGATACTAGTAAATAGTTTAGTTCGATAGAAGCAATTTTCATTTTCACCTGCTTTCTCTATCAAGTTATCATTGTTGGAAATTTGACTTTTCGGCGTCTTATGATTCAGGAATTGCAAGCTTGTCTCAAAAAGGTAAATGCTATGCCGTAATAAAAATATAATTATTTACCTCAACTCACGCAATTAACCCTAGAATTCGATCATTTAAGTGAACACTTCTTCAATTTTTTTTTGTGTCATCCCTAAATGTATGCAATATTTTTGTAAATGAAGTTAGAGCTTCTTTAGAGCAAGATATTTACTTGTTCATGAGAAAAGTGCTACTTTTTAAACAAATGGTTCGATTCAACTTCATTTTTTTAAACTTCTCGTTTCGAAATATTAGTTTTATTTATTTAAACACATTAACTATAGTAAAGCTAAAAAGCAGAGGAGAAATCTTTAATTGATCTATATTATTGCATATTATATAAAATAAAATATTTTAATAAATAAAAAAAAAAATAAAAAAACGAAAAATGCACAACTAACCTTTTATAAAGATTCTTCTAATCATTCAACATTTTTTTCCCCTTCAAAATTAGAACGTGCATATTTGCGACCAACTTTTTAAAAATTGCAGTTTAGTAAAGTTTAAAATGAAATTCTGCATCAAATCATTGCTGTCGCATTTTCAAAAATATACTTCTTTAAAAAAGTTCCTGTGTTGTACTTAATAATATTAAATTTTGCTGTAAATTTAAGTACATGCTATAGAAATGAATTACCGAAGAAAGGGAAAGGCGAAAAGGAGAGAAACTACAAAACTGCGTAGGGTTTTTATTAAAATTGTCAGAATGAAGGTTTGTATACATTTTGGTACTTTTCCAAAAAAAAAATTTTTGAAAAAAAGTCCTTATTAGTTTAACCTTTCGCAGTTTGTAAAATTCGTATTATTAGTACCTTATATTTGCGAAACGGTAAGCTATTCCGAATTTCTATTAACGGTGAATTCCATGTCATTAAAAAATATTATTATTTTTCTTTACTCACGCAATTGAACCTGAAATTCTAACATTATTTTAATGCCTCTTTCAATTTTTTTTTTGTATTCAACATTGCTTATCCTAAAAGTATGCAATTTTTTGAAATATAGGCTTATATGAATTAAGGTTATTTTAACAATATTTATGTTGTTTATGGGAAGAGAAAGACCGAAGGGAGAAGAAAAGCCGAGAGAGGAAAAGACTGAGATACAGAAAGGCCGAGTTAATATTAATATATTAAATATATTAATTTTTTGCTCATTTTTACAATTACAATTTTAATGAAAGTAATAGGCGATCATGAATGATAGCAAGCGAAAAAGTAAATTTCTGATTTACTTTCTAAAATTCCTGCTGGCCTGGTATTATTTTAGAAATATATTAATTTTTTGCTTATTTTCACAATTTCAATTTTAATGAAACTAATAGGCGATCATGAATGATAGCAAGCGAAAAAGTAAATTTGTGATTTACTTTCTACAATTCCTGCTTGCCTGGTATTATTTTAGAAATATATTAATTTTTTGCTCCTTTTTACAATTTCAAATTTAAGTAAAGTAATAGGCGATCATGAATGATAACAAGCCAAAAAATAAATTTCTGATCTACTTTCTACAATTCCTGCTTTCCTAGTATTTTGTTTGAAATTTATTTAATTTTTTACTCCTTTTCACAATTTCAATTTTAATGAAAGTAATAGGCGATCATGAATGATAGCAAGCGAAAAAATAAATTTCTGATTTACTTTCTACAATTCCTGCTTGCCTGGTATTATTTTAGAAATATATTAATTTTTTGCTCATTTTTACAATTTCAATTTTAATGAAAGTAATAGGCGATCATGAATGATAGCAAGCGAAAAAATAAATTTCTGATTTACTTTCTACAATTCCTGCTTGCCTGGTATTATTTTAGAAATATATTAATTTTTTGCTCCTTTTTACAATTTCAAATTTAAGTAAAGTAATAGGCGATCATGAATGATAGCAAGCGAAAAAGTAAATTTCTGATTTACTTTCTAAAATTCCTGCTGGCCTGGTATTATTTTAGAAATATATTAATTTTTTGCTCCTTTTCACAATTTTAA